TTAACATGGAATAAAGTAAGATATGAGGCTTGTTTGAATTTTATAAGATTTATAGGGTATTTGGCTATAAGGACATTGCTTCATTACATTAGGAAACTGTTTTGTAGCTTTTATACTGAACCCCTGCAGCAATATTATCAAGTCGCCTAGTTGTAAGGGGACCAATCAGATGACTAATAGACCGGTTAGTCTTCCCCATGTCCTTGTAATTGTACTTGTATCAAGGGTGTATATGCTAGAGTATAACTGTATCAGGTTGTATGTGCCATACTGCTATGTAGTATACTAGTATTCACCAGCATTAATTGGTAATAATGTTATCAAGTCTTCGACAAATCGCGATTAGTCAGGCTTATCGTTGCCATGGCGATTAGTTATGCACTACGATTAGTCGGGCTGATCGATGCAATGGCGACTAGGATCGATTAGACGATTTAATAACATTGATTCAAGAATTCAAGTTTCACCATGGTTTCTGAGTCACTAGTGAATTGCTGTGAACTTTGGATCCTAGACTGGTGGGCCAAATTGCTAGCCTAATAATATTCTAAACGCAACATGAAGCTTAGTTTTTCTCCTCCCTGATTGGACGATTATTTGTGTTAAGTCAATGACTAATCGGACAACTAGAAACCTAGTTGAGCTAATTGGTTGGTGGACCTAATTGAGGTCAAGGGACTTGTGGGGGGTACGATCCGGATACCCACAGGACAAGACATGGGCCGCACCATTAGAGGTGTCCCAGCCCACAAGATCAATGAGTGCGGCGCACAGCACTGCTCGGCGTGCACCGCAAGGCTACAAGAAAATATGATTTATTAGATATTGTATAATACCAAATATAATACTTTTCTTGTAACCCTACCCCACCAGATCATATAAGGAGGGACAGGAGTTCCTAGTGGACATCCCCATATGGATCCTATGCCTAACCTAAGACATCTGATCACACGCAATATCATACGATAGCTAATACAAACCAACAGACCACAAGAGTAGGGTATTACGTCGTGCAGACGGCCCGAACCTGTCTAACTCTTGTGTCTCTGTTGCCTTCTTGTTCTTGATTACGCACATATCTGCCGATCAATCTACCTTCGTGGGATACCCTCGGAGGACTGCCGATGATATTATGTGGACAGTTGGTGCGCAAGGTAGGGGTGTGCGTGCTGTTTCCATGACGAACAAGATGGTACACTTTTCAGGCTCTTCGTCCTCTCCAAAGCCCGGCCAGATCTTTACGGTCGGATCGATCTCCTGGGTCATCAATGCTGGTGGAGACAGAGAGATCATCAAGCTGGTGTAGATCGATTCTACGCCAACCACACCAACGCCTGCAACAGCAGATCCGATCTCGGAACCGCTTCCGAGGTCGTCTTCACCAACAACTCACCGCATGCTGCCACGCTACTCGAGGAAGCAGGTCAACAACGACGATCTGATCACATCTATCGATCAGGTTGACCAGAAGCTCGCCGACTGCCTCTCCCTCATGGAATCGGCTCTAACCACTCTGGTTCAACGCCGACTACCTTCCAGTTCCGATCTATCGGAGGCCGATCGGTAAACTCCAGGGGATATGGCCACCATACATCAGGATGCCCCAAGGGACAAATTCGCCGATCAAATTGGAGACATCTATCCTCTCGCCGACCCAATCGCCGACCAGCTATCGCCGACTGTCAATATGCTGCAAATCGGCCAACACCCCGAAGAATCCCTCCACACCATTCCGGAGGAAAACCCAGACTCTGAGCCTTAGGGCTCTACGGAGATTGTCGCCGAAACCGCCGCCGCCCAACCTCCTTTTCCACCCTTCTATGGAGGTAGGATTTTTAATGTCAGCATCGACAGCCCTCCACCGCTAAGCGAACCGCCTAAGCCATCAAGCTAGCTGCTAAGAGAGCCGCTCGAGCCATCAATCAAGCCGTCCACGCAACATTCACCTACTCGGACATCGTTACACGTCGATTGCTCTGCCCGATCGTCTATCAAAGCACCATGCGATCGCTATCACCATAAGCGATGACAACAATCTCTCGGATTGATCGCTCCGACCAAAGCACCATAAGGATGACATCGTCGGACTATCGACGATCGCATCATAGACGATGATCGCCGCATAGAACTGTGCTATGACGACCACGACTCGCCGCCATGATGACAAGCCGGAAAGCTCAAGAACCAGGCGATTTCGTCAACGCCGACCAGACATTCTATCTAAAGCTAAGTCACGCTTTAATATTCTTCTAAATATTCTCTAATCTTCATATATCGCCATGATGTTTCTCTGAGCTGTTTTTCTCCATGTTTGTTCTCCAAATGATTTTCTTTCATGTATACCATCTTAAAGATGACATACAACTAAGTCTAAGGTAAATCCCCGAACAGTCATGTTGACGCTCGGATGTCCTCAGAGACGGCCCTGTCTCCGGCTCCTCCCTACACATGCATGAGCATCTGCCCTCTGCGTTATGGGTGATCGGCAGCGGCTCCTTAGCAACGCTTTGTTCTTCCTACATGCACATGGGCTCCGCTCTCCGCGTCATGGTTAACGGGCTAGTTAGGGCTGAAGACTCAGCTACAAACTAACTGGTCGGACGGTTTGTATTAAATATAAACATATCTCCAAAAAAACACTTAGTGTTCACACCAACTGATCGTCGAGCTGCATACGCTATTTCATCACCATTGAGTTCATATATGTTATTTTTACATCATATACTACCCATTCTACACATTTGTTTCGTAGGGGCACGGTTCGGTCAACGAGCTTACGCTCAGGGACTGGACAAGATGATCATCGTCCGTGTGGTCGGACCACCTATCGGACGGACTTCACCGTCAACCAACTGGTCGGACTGCTCGGCACTCACTCCTGCTTGGCGTTTAGTTCGCCGCCGACCAGTTGGATTGACTGCTCATCGCATGGGCTTCATCGTCAGCTACGCTGGGACTCATCGGTGTTTGAATTCTTCGTGCAAGCATTGCCAGCTAAGCTGGGGACTCCTTTGGAGGTCGGATCTTGCTACGTATCATTGGTGTGCTATCAAGTTGCTCCATGTTGTTTGGATCGGGGTGCTGATCTTGGGCAGTACGTCCGGGGTCTTGTGAAGTACATGGCAGATGACGTTGGTAAGCTTTTATTAAAAATTCTTTGACCCTGATACAAGATATCTTCAAAATCTTCTAGCAGGCTCGGGGACTACATGTGTACATGTCATTTCGCGATGACTGTATTTATTTCTACACTGGTTTCTAGCGACATTGGGGACTGGGTCAGCACCTGAAGACTACTACTTTGGACCCTGGCACCACATGACTACGTCACCTACTGTCAAGCTCGGGGACTAAGTGGCTACACTTCACTAGGTGGTGAATGTAGTGCTAATTTCTTAATTTACCCTCCTTATTGACGGAGTCTAAGTGGCTACACTTCTCTTAAGGGGAAGAATTTTCAAATTTTATCTTGAGCCCCTTACATTCTTCTAGCAAGCCTTACTTGGCTAAGTCCGAGGTCTCCTAACCAGTTAAATTGGTTGGCATTGACTTTCACCGCCTAGGTCACCAGTTAAACTGGTCGGCTTTGACTTCCACTGCTCGAATCACCAGTTAAACTGGTTGGCTTCACGTCAAACTAGTCGGACTTGTTCAAGACAGCGCTACTCAAATGATACAAGGCGCTCGGGGACTATCTGTGGGGGGTACAACCCCGGATCCCCATAGGACAAGACATGAGCCGCACCATCAGAGGTGGCCCAGCCCACAAGATCAAGGCGTGTGGTGCACGGCACTGCTCGACGTGCACCGCAAGGCTACAAGAAGATATGATTTATTAAATATTGTATAATACCAAATATAATACTTTCCTTGTAACCTTACCCCTCCAGAGCATATAAGGAGGGACATGGGTCCCCTAGTGGACATCCCCATACGGATCCTAGCCTAACCTAAGGTATCTGATCACACGTAATATCATACGATAGCTAATACAAACCAACAGACCACAGGAGTAGAGTATTACGTCGTGCAGACGACCCGAACCTATCTAACTCTTGTGTCTTTGTTGCCTTCTTGTTCTTGATTATGCGCACCTCTGCCGATCAATCTACCTTTGTGGAATACCCCTCGGAGGACTGCCGACGATATTCTATCGACAGGACTAATTGAGGTCAAGGATGACTTAACATGATCTTCGGATGACTTGATAACACTGCCCTGCAACGCCATCAATGGTGGAAGCTTTCCTGCGAATGCTTGCTATTCAACTAAATGTGCTATTAATAACTTGTGTATCTAAACGCTTGTGGCTTGTACATTAAACAAATATATTTCTTGATGCTTTCCTACTGTTGTACATTTTGGTATCACTTTACTGTTTTCTCTGCATGAGAATGTGCTATTAAATTTGTATATTCAAAAAGCTCGTAGTGTTACTTTTTCTACGTTAAGCAAATATATTTTGATACATTGAAACTGTTGAAACTTTTAGTTCTATATATGCATGGGTTTGCTGTTTCAATTTGGGAACTCTAGGCAGTGCTATAACTATGAGCAGAGAGCTATAACTATGGGCAGAAAGGAAGGAGATTATGGGACTAGTTTTTTAAAACATAGTCCCCCAGTTCTTTTTTCTTCCACATATTTTGAGCGTTGTGTCAGTTTTTGAAGATTCTGTGATTTGTTTCCTAGGTATGGAAATGGTCTTGGTGGCGTAGGAGGAAGAGGTGATGGTCGATATATGAATCGTGCACCAGGTATGAATTATTGAATTGGTGAGCCAGGATTACCGTTACCTGCTCCTTGTCAAATTGTCATTTTTGTAAAGATATTATTAGTTGTAAGTTGGACAACAGATTGAAAAGGTAAGTGCCGATCTAGTTCATTTTCCCCGTAATTGATATGTTTCTCTTGATCTTCTTGGAGTGTGTCAAGCACACAACACAATATGTACGGTACACATTGGAATGGATCACAATTCGTAGCAAATGCTTTTTTTCTTAAGTCAATTCTTCGAGTGTGTCAAGCATGTTAAGGGTACTATTGTAATCTCCTGTGTCAGGTCTATATTCACCTCCTTTCATGAGATTGATGGACTTGAACAAGCGCGTTCCTGTAGAATACCATGATATCATGCTGTCCTTCACAGCATCATCCCCTCCAATGAATTGAATGTTGTAGTGCGCCCTCAGCTCGACATCGCTACTCATCAACTCCAAGAAGACAATGATGTAGTGCCTAGTGACATCATCATTGCTGTTGGCGTAGAAGCAGATGGACCAATCGAAGCCACCAACAGTGAAGGTGGATGACCTTATGAATTTACCAACATCTGTGCTGCCCTTCTTTTGACTGTAGTCATCTATCTCGAAGATGTGCGTGCCTGTATGGGCCTCAATGGTGCGACTTGATGCTGTTCTTCTGGGTATCCATGACATCCTTGAAGTACCTTCTCCTTCCAAACAATAATTACCCTTAACAAAGCACACAACATAATATGTACTGTACACATTGGAATCGATTCATATGTTCTTGTCATTTCAAGCTACTTATATTTGAAATTTCTTGGTACTTGGTAGTGATGTTCCTTTAACTATAATTTTCCATATGATGTATAGATTGGGTCGGATTCTGGACGCGGTGGATGGAATGAGGGACCTGGGAATAGTCGTAGGTACATATATAAATCTGAATTGGCTTTGTGTACTCTTTTTTACTTTCTGAGGAGCAACTCTTGTCAAGATTGTCATGGTTTTCACTGTGATAATTTTTCTCGAACATGCAAGACAGCAAGGGAGCTGCATTTCATTCCATTGTAGAAGGAATAATAGGTTTCCACCAAAAATAGAAAGAAGAGAAGAAGAAAAACACACTATGAAAAAAAATGTTAGATAATCTGCTGCTGTCCCTGTCTTCTGTTTTGCTGCAGCAGTGGACTTGGCAATCGGTCAGCTCGTTCAGCTCTGCTGATTAGTGCTGAAGTATGGCAATAGGCCACAACTTCATGTACTAGCTAGTACAAGTAGATGTATGGTAATAGGCCACTAGTTGTAGTGGCTGATATCAGCCCCAACTAGTTGTAGTGGCTGATACTCTTGTGTACCTTATAGCTGGTACAAGAGTTGTATATTGTTATGTGGCTACGAGGATTGAGAGGGAGAGAGCTGAGGGAGAGGAGGCGACGGACGGACTACAGTACCCACGGGGCACTGTTCACGCGAGGGAGAGAGGGCAAGGACGGCTGGCTCCCAAGGGAAGCCAGCAACTTAATTGTTGCTTTCTTCTTGCTTGACTATAAATGATACATGGTTCTCTCTTTTATAGAGATGACTGATTTGACCCCTAAGGAAATATCCTAACCGAATCAATCTAACATATCTCTTTCCTATGAAAGTCAAACCAATCTAATCTAATCTGTTCACGCGTTACAGTACCGCGTGGGCCCCTGGGCCGGCTCCACTTGCCATAACACTACTCCGCCCCTCCAAGACAGCTCGTCCTCGAGCTGTGGCGATTGCTAGAGCAGAAGACCTTGTAGTACAGAGGAGATCGCCATGGCAGACCTGCTGAAGGAGACCAATGTTGCGGTTGTAGTCGAGGCGGAAGGCATATGGCTCCCCAAAATCAACTCCATCCCATGGGATCTGCTTCTGTAGTGGTGAACGATCCCTACCTTCCTCCTCGAGGTGCCAAACTTGGCTGCTCCATCTGATCTGCCTAGAATCGAATCCGCCCGGCTCGAATCCATGGAGCGCCTGCACGTGGAGTCGATGGTGCCCTCCACGAGCAGCCACCCCCGCTATGGGTGCAGCAGAGCGGGGTTGTGCTGGAGGCGTACTCCAAGTGACCGATGGAGCTTTAAAAGGCTGATGCTGAGCTGGCGGAGAATAAGCGCATGCAAACAGCCACGGCCCTGCTCGAGGGATCGGTGTTGTGGCTCATAGAGGCAGCGACAAAGGCACCATGTCCACTAATGTCGGTGCATGGATGATCACCTGCATTGGTGACACTAGTGCATGCGGGGTTGTTGGCGAAGCTGGTGATGAGACTGCCGGAGTTGTGGCAGCCGGGGCCTTCATTGGTGATGTGACCATGGCGGGGGAAGAGGAGCACAACGACGTAGCTGACACCATCATTGTTGGTGATGGTGCCGATGCAACAAGTGGCGTAGCAGTGTGGAACTGCACTGGCACCACTACGACTGCCGATGGTGCTGATGGCGACGTCGTTAAAGACGGCGGTGCAGCAACCACAGCGGAATCGATCCGATCCGATTCGGCGAAGCGGACGGCCGCTGGTGCCTCATCGAAGCCGCGCAACTGGTTGCAGTCGGTGATCTGCATGAGCTCCTCCATGTGCAAGGCGTGCTCGAGAGTCTCGTCGGTGGCGGTGGCACCGACAAGATCATGCTGATCTATGCCATCCACAGCCACGGACCCCCTGCTGCAGCATAGGGTCCTCCACCACGGCTGCGGCTGGGGTGCATAGGGCCCGACGAGGAAGGCCCTGATGTCCGCCACGGCCTGCCCTAATTCTAGGATTGCGGCCGTCATCTGCTCCGGGGTGAGGATGAGGGCGGCGGGAGACGATGTCGCCGGGGCAGAGGGCGCGATCACCCCTGAGGACGCCAGCTAAGGATGGCAACGGGTCGGGTTCGGATCGGGTGGAGTCTCCGTGCACCCAAAACCAAAACCCGAAATCGAAACCCGAATCCGCCCCGAAAACCGATTCGGGTGGAAATCCATCACCAAAACCAAACCCGCGGATACCCGAAACCCGAACGGATACCCGAAACCCGAATGGATACCCGAAACCCGCGTATATATATACACATACTCACATGTATAAACAAGAGGCAACAAATAATAAATATTTTTATGAGTCAACTTTAAATAAATTTAATAATCTAAGTAAACAAATTATTATTAGTATATTATAAAACATGAGTTTTAATTCCAAATGATTTATTTCGGATATCCATTGGATATCCACGGGTGGAAAACCAAACCCGAAACCGAACCCAAAACCGTGGGTGAAAAACCATCCCAAAACCGAACCCTTGAGAACCCGAAACCGCATGGATATCCGCCCCAAACCCAATCATTGCCATCCTTAACGCCAAGATGATGTTCAATGCTTGCGCTACCTGATAATGGAAAGCAGCGCCGATGAAGACGGTGGCGGGCGGGGGGTGTCTCTGACGACGGGGTGGGAAGAACTTCGATGAGAAATTTGGACATGATCGAACCAGAGATCTCTGATACCAGATTGTTATGTGGCTGCTAGGATTGAGAGGAAGAGAGCTGAGGGAGAGGTGGCGACGGGCGGACTACAATACCCACGGGCACTGTTCACGCGAGGGAGAGAGGGCAGGGACGGCTGGCTCCCAAGGGAAGCCAGCAACTTAATTGTTGCTTTCTTCTTGCTTGACTATAAATGATACATGGTTCTCTCTTTTATAGAGATAATGACTTGACCCCTAAGGAAATATCCTAACCGAATCAATCTAACATATCTCTTTCCTATGAAAGTCAAACCAATCTAATATAATCTGTTTATGTGCTACAGTACCACGTGGGCCCCCTGGGCCAGCTCCACTTGCCATAACATATATATACTCTAGACAAGGGAAGGAAAATTTCAGTTCAGAGCAGCAAACATTATGAGTTTTAGACTTGTGCAGTGCTGTGCTCGTGTGCTCTCTGTTCTCACCCCCTCTTCTACCTCTAGCCATGGTGTGTGTGAGTGTGCTGGTGAGCTGATTGCTCACCTGTGCAGGAGCAGCGCCTCAAGCACGATGCATTTTTGTCTCAGTGGCTAGTTAGCTTCGTGCTCCTGGCAGCACCGTACAACTCAACTCTGCCGGCGTGCCTAGGGCTTCCCGGTGGCACGACGTCCACAAGGCGACTGGACCCAAGGTTTGCTCCTGCGGTGTTCACAACATCAAAAGAATTCGAGTGGAGGCCCTATAGGAGTAGCTACTGGGTGTGCGGCCATGTTGTACACGATGGCGATGTAGCGGGAGCTAGGGCAATGTTGTCCTTTGCACGGCGTCTGGTGGCCGGTAGAGGAGTGGGACAAGCGCACACTCCATGCTATCCGCACTGTCCTCTTGATGGATCAGCGCGACCACACCGAAGGTGTATGGGTAGAACACTTTCTTCGTTAGCACCAACACCAGCCAATGGAGTTGGCGGTAGCCACACATGGTCGTGGCGCACAGGAGCAGCGCTTTGCGCACGATGTGTTTTTGTCTCTGTGGCTAGTTCGTTTCGTGCTCCCGATAGCGCTGTCTGACTCGACTTCGGCCACAGCGTGTGCGCCTGTGTTCCACCACCACTTCATCTACGTTAAGAGAATGAAAGCGCCCTTGGTCTCGGCACTGATGCACATCCTGCAACTGAGGGTTTGGGACTGTTTCCCTGAGCTTCGCCCAGCGTTGGTGATGGCAAGTATCCCAGACTCCGCTGACGATACGGTGACATGCCTAGGGCTTCCCGGTGGCACGACGTCCATAAGGCGTTGGATCCGTGGTTCGCTCATGCGGTCTACACGGCATCGAAATAATTTGAGTGGAGGCGAGTAGCTATTGGGTGTGCGACCATGGCGTCCACGATGGCGATGCAATATGAGCGAGGGCACTGCAGTCCTTTGCACGATGTCTGGTGGCCAGCGGCAGCGTGGGACGAGCGCGCACTACACGTTGTCTGTGGTGTCCTCTTGATGGATCAGCGCGACCGCATTGAAGGCGTATTATGGGCAGAGCACTTTCTTAGTCAGCACCAACACCAGCCAATGGAGGCGGCGGTAGCCACACGCGGTCGTGGCGAGCATGAGCGGCGCCTTGAGCACGATGCGTTTTTGTCTCTGGCTAGTTCGCTTCGTACTCTCGGCGGCGCTGTGCGACTCTAACTTCGTCACCAATATCCTCCCGGTTGAGGTCCTCCCCATTGCCGTCAGCCTGGTGCGCGGCTATAGTGTGCACACACGCGTTCCACCGCCACTTCGTCTACGCCAAGCGAACCGAGGCGCCCTCGGTCTCGGCACCGATGCACATCCTGTAACAACCCAAAAAATCCACACATCAAAAATCACAACTACAAAATTTTTCTTCAAAATCCTATGTGATGACGAGTGACATCTGTAGGAGCCAACCCTAGGTGTTGCATTAGTTGTAACCCAACTAAACAATTTCATGAGCATAGCATGTCATTTGTTAAATATATTTATTTAAAATCCTAACAAATAAAACGTTGCATACATTGTTAACTCAAATTGTGATTTGGATTTCCATTTGCTTTACGTAATGCTTAACAACTCCTTTAAAGTAATAAACCCTAAAGTAAATATTAATCAAACCAAAGAATAAATGCTTAAAGTGAAAACTATTTCTATTTTTTATGACAAAACTACAACTATTTTTGTTACACAAAATAGC